ATCACTGTATCCGCTTTTATTTGCTCGGCTCATATATTATCTGGTCCAGCTGGTTTACCACACTCGATTTGTTGGATGGCCATGCCGATTTCTTTGATAGTTGGTGAGGTCACATCTACCAGAAGGTGTGCAGGTGCTACTTTGGTGGTTGATGAGGGCAGTTGGACTGTTCCACTCGAGATATCTTCAAGATTCTCTACCCAGTTATTACCCGTTATTTGATCACGATTACTAGTTTTCTTTCCGTCTGTTCAGCCCTTCCTGATTTCAGCCCCGTCCCCAACGTCATCAAATGGCCTGAAGCTTTGTCAGCTCATATCTTTTTCCCTACTTTCCCTAAGGTCCTTCTGAACTTTTTATTGAAACCGATAACGTCGATTTGGTTCTGCGTAGAATACTTCGGTGAATGTATGTGGAAATATTTTGCCGTCGATGACCAGTTAGTTGAAGGCACATTGGTTTGTATGTGGAGCACTTTCTAATTCATGGCTGTAGTATCAGAGCGTCTATCGAGAAGCTAGTCACTGTTATCCAAACCGCGTCCGAAAAGTCCCACTAATACTCAGCAACAGCAGGTTGTATCTTTTACTTTCCGCAGCAAACTAAATGAATCTCCCGGTCAAGCACAGCGTACGAACACTCTATGTACTTTTTTAAATGGTAGCTTTGGTTGTTAGAAGGTGCATAGTCCTCGTGACTTCTGACGGAAATCGGCTTTCATCATGAGACGTCACAAATCTTCTAAATGAAGACTTTTCAACTGCTGCAGCAGAGTTGGTTTAATTTGGTTTAAATTATTTTTTGTCATTAGCGGTTTTTCGCGAATTAATTTTCCATGGGATGGTTTTGTTAACCTAACCCATCTCTTTTATTCGGGCTAGGGACTGGCTCGAATCCCAGAATGGCTCCAGGCAAAGTTTTACCTTGTTTGGTATATAAGACTCAAGCTTCTTGAAGTTTCTCCTAAACTTTATCTAACGAAAACGCGGCAGTGAACCATGAATTTAAGGTTGTGTTGTATAACACCCTAGGATCATCCTGAGTCAGGGTTAAAGACACTGACGCCTCCCTCATGTTATAGTTATTTAAAGTTGTGTATTTATTAGTATGTAAAAGAGATCGACACTGTAGATAAGCCATAACTAAAAATAAGAACAGTTCACTAGAAAGCTTACAATCAGCTGCAGCACACACTTGACAACCTTCTCCTCTTCTGGTCAATTTTGACGTGCAGTAGCATTGCGAACTTGCAGTTCATTCTACAAAGGACTTAAAAATTAAGGAACATGGGATGGGGATTTGTTTTATTTCCACAAGTACTTGCACTATAGCCTTTGAAGTTTATCATCGTTCTCTGCTTAAGATTTATCAGTGTCATAGATTGGTTTTAGCTGAGGTCTAGAAAAAACCTGCGATGCTTCTAAAGCAATGCGAAGAAACACTCTTTGTATCATTTAAAGCAGGACGAGATTAGACCTCCTGCATGGTAACGCTACTGCTCTACAAAAATGTAATCATTCAAATCGTGGGACATAAAATTTCACAAACAACTGCCAACTAACTAGCATTAGTCCAGTCAAGTGGCTAGACTACCATTCATTGCAAACTGCCAACTATCAACCTGGAATTGTATCACATAAAAGCCAGTCGATTTATTCTAGCTCGTGTAATAGACATTGGAATTTGAATTGCGAAACTTTGCCTAATTCGGATCTGGGTACCAGCGAAAAGTGCGGTGCGTTTGGTTCATGTCGCGAAATGATGGCTGTGGTCATCCCAACACTTTTAGTTTTCTCCTGCAGTTTAGCAACATCTTTGAGTAGTGACAAAAAACCAGGACATTCAGATGAAATCATGTATTTACTAGGCGCTTGGCCACAACCGAATTTCAAGCAGTACTCTAGATATCTTCATGGATCTACTGATAAAGTCAACATTCATTACTGGCTTGTTGAAGCTGCTTCGTCACCGAAACCCGCCCCGCTAATCTTATGGCTAAGTGGTGGACCTGCATGTTCTTCTCTAGGAGGTTTACTTAATGAAAACGGTCTCTACTAAGTAAGTTCCTAGTGACAGACTTTTATGGTTTATATGATGTTCAGTATAATTACAATGAAAATCATGGCAAACCGCTTACAAATTGAACGGCTTCATACTCTTATCGACTCTTTGCTTCAGACTAGAATATATTATCCTTGCACTTCACTATAGTAATTTGAAATTTTTCCTGCAATTTCACTTCTAATCAGTTTGTAATATTTTCATAACAATGAGCACTTAGTTGAGAGCACCAAATCGAATTCGGTTAAGTTGTGTGTTAATTGCGAAAAGATTTGTATGATCACCGAGCTTAACATATGTATTTAGGTTTTCATGCTATGCCGTCTATATGGAAAATCATAATCGAGTCTCATATGCTTTGTTAAAAAAATAACACGATAATGCACTTGAAAAAATCTATCAATTTTGTTAGTCAGCTGTAGTTCATATTTCTATGAAGACTTCTGATGTTGTTTTGAGAATTTTATATTTTGTTGAATGATCTTTTGTTTGCAGAGAGCAATCAAAATATTAATGAAGTTAAAGGACAATCTACCTGTCTCCGGACGCTATTACTCAAGATTTCTCCTAGGAAGTCTGTGTATCTCCAGAGTATATGTTAATATACATATATGTTTATACTAGTAGCCATGTTGGTAAGTGTAGACTATTTGATTGGGGTACGCGAGACAGTAGTAACTGATGGTTAGAAGAGACCTTGAATAATATGTCTCAAGATTGTTTGCAATGGCGCAAGTGCGTCCCTTCTTTATTTTCTCTCAAATCCTAATCCTCTGGATTCAACATCACCTTTATCTTTTTCTTTTTAAGCTTATTTCACTGGATTACACTTCTTGAATAATATGTTCGAACCCTGACTTTCTCGATTACCGCTAATACTTCTACTGCCTCTACTTCTTTGTGATTCGAATTAAAAATTTCATCTCTGTGCTAATGTGGTATGGCAACTTGAACTGATGTACGTACGTGCAAAGTTCTACAAGGTAGCTAACTGACTGACCAGTAGCCCAATAATCACTGTAATCCCTGAAAACAGTGGAACCTTAATCTGACGTGTTGTCAGTCATGCAAAATAAAACTCGTCACTTATCTTACCTAAATGAATAACTATCGTTGTTATTGAATTTTACTGTTTCAGCTCCAGAAAGGACCTCGTCTTGTGGAAAATCCGTACTCCTGGAATAAAGTGAGTCAATAAGATTTTTTGTTAAACGGATTTTATTAAACACCTCAAAAATGATTTTAGTCTTTTTCGTGAATAAATCTAGTTTGTTTAGTTATGATAACACTTATCAATGTGCTTATCAACACATTGTTCAACCAAATGCCATCAATAGCAAGTTTACTTCCTACCGGGCCTGTCTTTACTACTCTACAGTTATAAAATACAGCTGTTGTCAGCAGACCATGTAGTAATACCCCATGTTGAGACCAAGTTGCTGCACTAATTCATAGGGTCACCGTAATATTTTGTAGAATCCCCGATCACAAACAAGCATATGCATATTAAACTAGTTAGGCCTTTAAACTTACATTGCGTAGACTTATTTCTCAAATATTCGTGTTTACCTCCATACATGTTTAGGGAATGTATATGCTTGTATGACCGCCTAACTGTTTACTTGTTTATTCCCTTATACCTTTATATTTTAACCTGTACAATGATCAGTCATTTACATATATACATATTTACTTTATCAATTTTCTTGAATATATCTATGTATTGAAAAAAAATTTACCTTGCTCTATTTTCACTTGTCTTCTAGATTGCTAATGTTTTATACTTGGAGGCTCCAGCTGGTATAGGATTCTCTTATTCTACCGATCCAGATCTAACTTGGGATGATGATAAAGTGAGAGTGTTGTATTGTTATTGTTGTGATCAATTGTTTTAATGTGTCACTTTCATCATTGTAGTTTTTTTAATTGTCAAGATATCCGTTTACTAATCAAAGGACGAGTGTACTACGCAGTAGTTCGCTCCGTTCTCCTATATGGATGTGAAACATGGCCGTCAAGAGTAGATGTTCGTAGGTTACTAGTATTCGATCATAGATGTTTAAGAAGCATTGCTCGTATACCGTGGGACAACCGAGTAAGCAATGCTGTCGTTAGGAAAGGGGTGCTAGGTAAGGATGGCAGATCAATAGGTGGAGTACTGAAACTCCATCAGTTGAGGTGGTTGGGACATGTGTGGCTAACCACTGACTACCTCGACGAGCTTTGTTTTGTGGTGTAGGAGTAGGTTGGAAGAAAAGCTAGTGGCGGCCAAACCAAAACATGCCAGAAATCCATGAAGTCACTGACAAGTGGACTGAGTCATGTTGGTAGATGTAGACTACCTGGTTGGGGTCCACGAGATGAAATTCATCGATGATTAGAGACCTTGAATGACATGGCTCAAAATCGTTTGCAATGGTGCCGGTGCATTTATTCTTTGTTTTCTCTCGAATCCTAACCTTTGTCTTTCTAAACTTATCTCACTGAATTATACTCCTCGAATCATATCTTCAAATCCTAATCTCCGTTACCAGTATTACTTCTACTATCTCTACCACTGTTGGATTTGAATTGACAATTGAATCTCTGTGCTATTGTAATATGACAACATGAACTGATGCACTTACGTACCAATTTCTACTTTGTAACTGACTGACTGAATAATATCTTCGACCACTAATCTTTCCGACTACTGCTAACATATCTACTACCTCTACTACAACTATAGGATTTGAAGTGACATTTTCATTTCTGTGTGCTAATTTGGTATGGCAATTTGAGCACTGATGTACGTATCTGTACGAAGTTCCACGTTGTTGTTAACTGTTTGAGAATATCTGTCGTCTATTACTTCATGCCTGTAAGTTATTATTATCGCACTATTCTAATAAAATTTCTCTTCTTTTTCTGTTCAATTTTCCTTGTTGGAAAATTATTAGACTGCTTTAGACAATTATCATGCATTGCTTCATTTCTTGAAAAAATTCCCTGAATATGAAGGACGTCGTCTATTTATTGCTGGTGAAAGTTATGGTGGTGTTTATGTGCCAACGTTGAGTTTACTTCTTTTGAATTCATCTAAATTCGACTTTAAGGTAAAGTTGAACAGTTTCCTCTTTTTTTTTAAATGCACAATTTAGTTATGATAAATTTTTAGTAAATAAACAAACCGTCTTTTTTGAGGGGAGGGGGTGATCACGAACGGACTGGAGTTCGGGAACCATTAAGCGCCTAAAAGCACTGAATGACCATATCATTCCAACACACAGCTCAATTTTAATGTGCATCCGTGACGGTACAACACAAGCTTCAGTCTCATGTATGAACATTCCACCCTTTTTACCATCAGTGGTATATTATTCTAACTAGTCAATCCACGATACAACGTGACTATCTTACACTGATTTACACTTACTAGTTAATAGCCGTGTCTTTCACGATTACTTAGTTAAATCAGCTAATGTCAGGTCACTTACAACATAGAACTTCGTACGTACGTAAATCAGTTCAGGCTACCATACCACATTAGCACACAAAGAGATCGAATTGTCTATTCAAATCCCATAGTGGTAGATATAGTAGAGGTATGGGCAGTAATCGCAGAGATGATGGTTCGGAAATATTATTCAAGAAGTATAATCGAGTTTATTTCTACATGATAGAAACGTCCTTGAAAGATCCAGAAAATATCGTACTGAAATAACACATTAATCAATAACAGTCAAGGATTTTCCGAGTGGGAAATGTCATCTCAAGGTCAACTGATCACAGCTCATGCGCGAAAGCATGAAATCCGAAATTATGACTTTTATCAATTGAGTTCTGCAGATCTAACATCCTCAACACGCACCACCTTGCACACACAGATCATCATAATTCTATGCACATAGATAATTTTATTTTGTAATATGTGAAAAAGATGCGTTCATCATCATCATGATCATTATCATCATGTACTCTATTCTCATTAAAATATCACTTTGAAATAGCCAAAAAAAATACAAGAACTCAAATAGAGTTGTGTGTGTGTGTGTGTTATGAAATCATGACATTGTTACAAATTATATTTTACTATTTTAACTTTTTATAAAACTACACTGATTTATAGTCCATAGATGAATATGCATTTACACATTTGATCTAAATTTATTGTAGTATTCATGATAATTATTACCGATTTGTAAAGTGATATGCTAATTCATTTGTGTATAACAAAAAAATATCTACACTTTTTTGTGCGTTTGTTTGTTTGAAATGATACTTTGATACCATTGAACAACATCAAACATTTTAATTATTATTAAACGAGAGAACAAAGGTGAACCATTCTAAAGATTAATTCTTTTTTTACCCCAATGAATATCATGAGATAGATTTGAAATGAGACTAAGTTCAATAGTCATTGAATTGGAATAAATGATAACAGTGATGATAATTGTTGGGGGGGACCTTGTCGAGTGTAGTCAGTATACCGAAGACAAGGAGTTAGACATTAACACTGTTGGATGCGTGTCCAGTGCTCCAGAGGTTAAGCGTTCACGCGTAATACAGAAGGTTCCCTGGGTCCGAGTCCTGCGGGTAGCAAGAGTAAATGGATGCAGACTGCCACTGATGAGCTGGTCCCATATCAGGACGAAACGGCCGTCTTTCAGTGCTGCCAGATCTCTTGTACGGTGGTCTGACAATGATTCATGATTTCAGTAATGAGTTCCTACTATTATTATTATCATTGTATACACTTTAATAGTGTGTTCATTGCGGTTATGTTATATCACTTTAGTTTACCAGTTTACTTATACCGGTTACCTTCACTGTAGTTAGTATTAGTATTAGTAGTATTAGTATTCTACATGCGCAGCTAGTCATAACAGAGAGTTAGTTGATAATAAATACATGATTTTTTCTCATTTCTCTTATTATCTATAGGCTATTGCGGTTGGTAATGGATTAACAAATTATAAATTCAATGATAATTCTCTACTGTATTTTATCAATTATCATGGTTTAATTGATAAAACGTAAGTCAAATTTAGCGTGCATGTGTGTGTGCGTGTGTGTTTTATTTCATTTAATAATGATATGCGGTTAAGATGTAATTTTTTATGTATACAGGTGTGGATATCGATTGAATGATTGAACACTTCCGTAATTCGTCTTGATTTAAATCATGAACTAATTAATGGTAAAAACTACTACTATTTAGAAACTTGTAAGCATTGAATAATCGTTGCGGAACTGATTAGCAGTGCGCATCTACAACTTTGAAAACAAGGATCTATGTTCTAGCATGCAAATGCTGGAACCTTTCTCTGTTTCAACTGCATTTCTTCTCATGAATAGTAACTTGTTACTCCTGTTACTCCCAGTGGAGTATAGGCTGCCGACCAGTTTCTAGATAACGTTCTCTCAGTGAGTTAGTTTTCTACAGGATGGGGTCGCCAACCCCCATGTCTTACCCTCCTCCATAACGCAGACTTGGGACCGGCAGTAATCCTAGAGGGGTTCCAGGCGGACTTATGAATAGTTATTACTTAAATAAATAAATTGTTATGATTCGTACATAGTTTTGTTTCATAACAGCCTTTAAATGGCTTAGTATGGCTGAGAGTGAGGAAAGACATCTTATCTCTAAATGCTCTCATATCTCAACGTGTTTATATTTACTGCTATGGAATTCCTAAACATTGGTTTCATGTGGCACTTATGTTGTTTACAAAATTAAAGAGATGAAAGGCGAATGTACGGTCAGGGCTTAAACCAGGTTGTTCGGTGTGGAGGATCCACTCGCGAAAGTTAAATAACTCTTATTCCATATCAGTCAAGCACAATGGCTCTATGAACCAAAAGGAAAAAATGACGCATCAACCTATAGTCGGTCATCAGCTATCATACGATTGCATCTCTTAACGTTGCTCTACTACTTACTGCCTTGTAGATTAACTCTGTAGGCTAAAGGTTCGGCGAGTGAACTCCTAAGAAAATCATCTATTTTGATTCGGACAATGGGCTAACTCGCTCACAAATTCAATAGTTTGTGTGGTGCATGAATATTTAGGGGCCTCTTTTTACCAGTAATTCTCATGTGTTTAAATAGTAATTTATTGAACAGATTACTACTATATCTGCACAACAGTTAATTTAAAAAATTGGCCTCAGTAATACTCCGATGCCTATAACTAGAGCTCGTGAAGAGCAGACTTGTGAAAGCCAGGCTGGTTCTCGACCTGGCAACCTGAACTGATGTACGTACGTACGAAGTTATACGTTGTAACTGTCTGACTGGCTGGATTTAATCTACTAAGGAACATTTTGTAGAATTCAGTTGGGTTTACTTACTTTCGCCTATTATACCCCCCAATGGAGCATAGGCTGTCGACCAATTTCCTCCAACCTACTCAATCATGAGCCTTCCTTTCTAGTTCTGTTCAACTGTCGTCATTCTTCTCATGTCTGTCTTCATTTCTCGTTAGCATATTGTGTTATTTGGTCTTAATCCTATCCTTCGATCTTGAGAATTCCTGGTGAGGGCTTGTCCTGTGTCGCGGTTGTTTGCTTTCTTGACCGTATCTCTTATCCACTTCCAGTGCTTCCCTTTGATTTTTTCCTCCGCTGAAATCTGCTTTGTTCTGTACCACAGAAGGTTGTTACTGGTAGTTTCTGGCCAACATTTTGTAGAACTACTCAGTACACATAATCAGTCAGTCAGTTACAATGTAGAACTTCGTACGTAAGTACATCAGTCCAGGTTGCCATACAACATTAGCACTGACACGCAACTGTCAGTTCAAATTCCGTAGTGGTAGCGATAGTAGAAGCATTACTAGTAATGGAGAAGATTCCGGATCGAAGATATGATTCGAGAAGCGTATTTCAGTGAGATAACTTTAGAAAGATAAAGACAATGAGAAATTCAGAAGGTTAGTATTTGAGAATTTAATGGATGAATGCACCTGCGCCATTGCAAACGATTTCGAGCCATATCATTCAAGGTCTCTAACCATCGATGACTTTTGTCTCTGCCTACATAACTCAGTCCACTTGTCGATGACTTCATGGATGTGTGACATGTTTAGGTTTGGCCGCCTCTATTTTTTTTTCCAACCTACTCCTACACCACAAAACATCGCTCGTCGAGGCAGTCGGTGGGTAAACATTACCAATACATATTGTAGTAGCAGTCATGATCAAGAGATAAACAGTACACTTAAAGGTATTATGCAGAGTTATGCTAATATCAATGTATAATATTTTAACAAAACTAAACTAATCATAATTATAGATAGATAGACAGACAGACAGACATTGTAGAGTTGTTTTATCTATTCACCTTTTCTTTTCCCCATTTTTCCCTTTAGTTCATGGAATGAATTAATTGATAAATGTTGCAATGACAAATGTTCCACTGTTTGTATGTTCACCGATAATCGATCACCTGAATGTCAACAAATTGTAAGTTACATTCTCTCTCTCTCTCTCGATGTTTTTATAATATACAAGGTTTAGAATTGGGAGCGAGTCCACTTAGCATAATCGGTAAACTGTTTACTCCAAACAAGGCTGATAAA